GTGCGCGTATGCGTGTTTGTGTGCTAAGATATTGAAAACCTACACTTTACAACCACTGTACATTTGGTGTTTGCATGCTTCAGAATTTCCGACCACATTCCAGTGTTTAAAGACATACTGTACAAAAGAATTACCAAGCCAACTTCTCCACATTGCTCTCCAGCTCCCCAATCATTCAGGGACAAAGTAAAGTTTATTGACAGGAGTAGATAGTTGAGTCTTGAGTCATAGTGAAGTTTGACAGTCATTTAACCGTTGTTGTGATTCCCAGTCAGCTCTCCTGATCACGAAAAACGCAATAACGTGGCCCCAGATGTTCATTTTCATGCAATACCAACTGCTTGCCACAAGACTGAGTTTGATGTATTTACTCCTCCCTGCCTTTCCAAAAGTTTACAATAAATGTCTGTTACATCTGGTGTGATGGAATTTTTATTCTTTTCATTTTATTCTGTTACTTGCTTTTCAGTTAACTAATTAAGGAAATTAGATTTGTTTGTGTATCTGCTCACAATAGCTACAGAGGACTTTGAGACACGTGTTAGTTGTATTTTTAACTAATGAAAATGAACATTGTAAACTATTGGTTGCCATACCACCTTCTTTATTATTTGAAGCCTTTTCATTTTTTCCTGTTCTGATGATGGGGTATATTTAGTAAGTTTAGATTGGAGGCAATAAGCATGTAAATGATATGAGAACAGAAAATATTATGACACAAGAGGGCAGCATTGCTCAAAAAATAAATTCAATAGTAGATAAAATCTGTCACCAAACTGAGAGCCTGCATTGAAATGTATATTTTAAAATGCAGTGTGAAAGAAGATATGATCAAGATATCGCCTTGATTCTCGAAAACCCATTTTACTCTTTAACAAACAGGCCTTCTCTCTCTCTCTCTCTTTCTCTGTCTTTTCGTCTCTTGTCCTATCTCTCTTCTCTCTAAAAGCCTCCTATTAAATCAAGTGAAATACAGTTTATAAACTGCTCATCAAGCTGATCCCTCTATAATTTAGCAGCACCCTTGGGTCGTCACAGTGGGTGTTTGCTATTGAGCTAATAATAGATTTAACCCAAAGTTGGTACATCTATTCCTTATTCATTTTATCAAAAGATGAGGCAGAGGATTAGTTTACTCAAACATTTAACTTTTATCTCCTTCAGATCTTAATTCAGACCAATTCACTAAAACAAACAAACTTTCTTAAAATCAGAACTCAAAGTGTTAAATTAAGCAGTACCCTGAGCCATTTAAATTGCACTAAAAAGCTTTGGGTTGTGAAATCCATATAGTTCTAAGAAACACTGCATTTGGACATCTGAAGCTGAACTGTCTGGTGCAGCTGCTTTGTCAGGACATTTAAAGCACCACTGCTTCTCTCACTAACGAGTATCTGTAGTTATGTGAGACAGTCAGACACTGTGCAGCATGAGAACTCCTATTTAACCATGAAACTGAAGTCCTCGCTAGTGAAGCCTACTTTCTTTTGATACCAGTGAAATCTAAAGATGTGTGTGCATTTGACAGAAAGAGGACATACATGCCTTTCCTTACAGCAGTGATGCCCAGCCTTACTTGTACCTCATGGGCTGCTTTTGCTGTTTCCACGTGGTGTATCCGGTTTACTATTGCGTCTACTGCAACACCTGAACACCACCTGTTGCAATTCAGAGTGCATGAAAAGTTAACATGTGAGCAGTCCGGGCCATTGCTGCAAGTCATTCCTCTGTCTCTCTCTACTGTAGGCCTTCTGTCAAATAAAGCAAAATGCCAAAAACATTTTTATAAAATATCTATCTAAAAGTAACAGCTACATAGATAAAAGCAGTGGATAAATTAAATGTAATAGCTAAAAGTAAACAAATAGGCCTAGCCGACATTTGCTAAAAGGAGTGGATACATAGTAAGGTAGTGTATATTTTATAGAAAAGTCAAATAAATAGTTGAAACTGAAAGTACTGGATATGGTTGATACACTGAAAGTAATGGATAAATGGTTAAAACGTCCAGCTTCCTCTACTCCAAGTGTAGTAGCACGAATGCAAACCTGACCGAAGCACTGACGATTCAAATGTATTAAAAAATACAGCAGCAATCTCTTATTAAGAGTGTAACATTCAGAAACACATTTGGAACATCACGGATGGTGTTGATGAAAGTGTACTAGAGTTCATCAGTGAGGCGCTGTGGGGGTATGTCAGACAGGAAAGGTTGGGAACCACTGGCTTAGAGAACAGTTAGTGCCTGCAAACAGCTTTGAGAGCTGTCAAAAGAAAGAAATACTCCCCAGCTGTTAATTTATCCATGAGCTAAGTTCTCCCACGTAGCAGGTGTTTTTTCTTGCTGGATATCTTCTCTCTCTCTCTCTCTCCTTTTTGTTCACACTCTCTTTCTTCATCATCACCCGATCCCCCTCTATCATCTGCCTCTCTGTTACAGCTCTTCAGCTGGTGTTAGCACATGACTTACCAAAGCAGCCACGTCAGAGCTTATTTTGTCCAATTAGCTGCTTTTAATGGAAATTCCCATTGGTGCCTGTAGCTAACGAGACAATCATTCCCCTCACTCCTTGTCCTACGGAGACTGTGACTAGATTTATTGATTAAATGATTTATAACTAATAGAGAATATTAATTAATGTATTTATAAATCTATTAACGGTGACACGAAAGGGGGAGAGAGTGGGAGGATGACATGCAGCAAAGGGTTGTTATTGTGAAGATAAAAAAGCTAATTTTGGCTAAATTAATCTATGCAAATTAGATATACGTTGCAGCTTTATGCTTTGATTTCCTTATATTCTATTAATAAATGAGCAACAGTACTGGTTTTGTCTGCACAGAAGAAGTTGTTTTAATGGTTGTTTTAATGGTAAGGGGTATAAGTGAAGTATTTTCAGGCTTTTCAAACTATTATATAAATTATTTATATAAAAGTCTGAATTATGTATGAGGCCACGATAAGTTAACAATAAAACTTGTTTCCCCTCCACAAAAGACTAAATGAAAATACAGAATCTCAACATTTGGTCATGGTTTGCCGATCTCTGACCATGGATACAGAAAGGCTTCTGGATCTTTTTTTAACAACATAACAGACTCCAACTTTAACCCAACACCGCGGTGTAAGAGTCCAGCAAAGATCCCCAGGGGTTAAAAATATCAACTGGCTATATTGTTTCCATGGCAATGCTATCACATAGTGTACATGGGGGAGTTTAACTAGAAGGATACTGTTCAACCTACACACTGCAGACCACACCGCCATCACATCTTTTCTCCTCATAAATGGTTTCCACCCAACTATTAGGTTTGTTTGATGTGTCTTGCAGTAATAGGTATGTGTTTGTCTGAAATGGGCCCCCCATCATTTGGGTGATTGTAGCAGCAGACCTGGAGGGGACAGTTTATATTCCCTAAAACCTGGAATTTACAACCTGGGACACTCCCTCATTTGTGAGTCTTTAAAGGAAGCAATTTAAGAGTTTATGCATGCTGTTTTTGTGGGAAATTATTAATTAGTATTTATAAAAGATGAGATTACATTAAATGTGAATGAACCCCACTGAGAAACTGGATCTTTGCAGCAGCAATTATAACAGGATACACAAAGAGAGATATTTAAACCGACACCCTTTAAACAAAAGTACAAAAGTAGCACGTGAACAAAAATAAAACATGCTAAGATGTGAAAAACTATTTTGTCCATAACATTAAATCCATAAACATAAAGCATATTAAGAATACATTTAAATTATTTAAATTCATTATATTTAAGAATAACTGACCTCTAGTGACTTATTGAATTTGAAATCCTATTGGGTGCAGCCTTGGTGTTAATCACATTTGCGCTGCACTTGGTGAGAACTGATCAATAATGGTAAAATACGCACAGACCGAAATGGTATAATGATTGATTTGAGCTGCTCATCTCCAACAGAGCAGTTACTGTGTGGCTTACGTCTACATGGAAAAGCTTTCATTCTCTCCTGAGTGGCACAAACACTCCAGAAGACCATACACAAGGACTATTGTACTGATTTGTCATTTAGACGCAGAAGCTTTTACAGCAACAGCTCAGTTGGAGACGAGCAACAGATGATTTGTGATAGTTGTATAATCTAACTGCTGTTTGTTTCCAATGTTAATAATAAAGCTTTACTCCAAACTGTATGAAACACACATTTATCTTTACTTATATTTTAAAGCTTATAATGACATATTTGTTGGAATTGGACCACATTAGATGTAGATCTGCAGTAGTAGAGTGTATATCAAGGTCCAAAATGAATATTGAATGTTGGACATTTTTTGTTTGTCACTTGGGGGTTGAGGTTTGTCTACTGACATAGTAAACATATTGTTACCTCGTTTACACCACTTTCTTGTAAGCTGTAACTCTTTAATGGTTAACAATATTTTATGAATGCTTTATAGATCAGTCACAAGCCATCTATAACAACAACTTTGGGGTTGCCAGGTCGTGACAAATCATTTTGATTGATGTCTTAGTTGTTAGACAGACCACTCCAATGGGCCATTGCGTTATCAAGGAATCATATCTATAGTGGTACCTAATGGGGTTACATTATTGAATATTAGCCTGGTGTATTAAATTACCATGAAGGCCAATTATAACTGCTACATGTCAACATCATTCCCAAATGACCAAACGACCTCCAACCTCTGAGCCAGTGACAGCCAGCTGTTCAGCCAGAGATCTGGAGTTCCTCGAAACCCCAGAGCTGGAGTGGCCGGTGATCCCTCGTCACCGCCGGCCAAATCTCCCCCTCTGCCTCCCCTCCTCTCCCTCTCTCCACCCCACCCTGTCTTGCCATCTCTCTCTCTCTCTCTCTCTCTCTCTCTCTCAGTGTGCCTGGAGGGACGCATGCGGCTGGAGCAGAGTCCCGGCGACTCCTGGAACCGAACCAGCCATCCCGACGGAGGCGTTCGGTGTATTCCTCCTCCCACACTCCCCCTCCCTCCCCCCCCCCGGCTGCCTGTCGGCACGCGGCTGAGAAAGAGAGAGAGCAGACGGCTGTCCCCGCGCAGCGACCGCCGACCGACACAACAAGAAAGCAGCGTGCCAGGTATCATGACGCACCAAAAAATGTTGCCACTCGCCTGGACTTTTCTCCCTGACTCCGCCATGTGACTGTGCCCACGCTGTTTTAAGTCGACTTTTTGGATGGAGCCGCCATATGAGACTTGTGCGTCATCCGGTCCTGTTTGTCATCTGTGTCCTGCGTTTCACGTTGTTGTCAGTGTTTGATGATGTCATTATTTATTCCAGATGGATCTGCGCTCCGCCGCTGCGTCGAGTCCCTTTAAAGTGTGAGGAGACTCGCTCCGCAAACGTGCGTCCCCCTGCTCCACAAACTTGGACCGCTGCCTCTGTTTGTGGCGAACACAATCCAGCCCTGCAAACCCTCTGTGGCTGCCGGGTGGACGGCGGTGTGACACAGCAAAGGGGACTTTAACGCCGAGAACTATTACTTCACTATCACTAAATCAACTTTTCCTCTGCGGATGAAGGTTTGTTTGTCCGGTCTGTGTGTCAGTGCGCCCGGCATAACTGGACCAAGCACATCTCTTTCATTCATCGGTGTATTAAATATTTCATCTGGACTAATTTGACCAATCCAAAAAAAAAAAAAAACCAAACCAAGGAAGATCCGACTTGAAAGGGATGCGCAAGCGAGCATGATGCTCAGCTTTCTTACCTGCTGTTGTTGCTGACGCACATTGGGAGAGAAATGGCATTGTGAACTATGTGGAGTCATCCCTGAGTACCGAGTCGCTGCTCTCCGCGGGTGTATGGAGAAGAGCAGCCAGAGGATGACGGGCGGACCCCGGGAGACGCCGGTGAACTCCTCGCCGGCGGTGGCGGCCAACGCGGAGGGCGAGGAAATAGAGGTTTTGGAAAGCACCGACGTCCTCCCCGTGGCTCCAGAGGACGTAAGTCAACACAGACTACAGAGAGACCTCAAGTGCACACATGCCCACCCTTTTAAATTACACAGCAGCACCTTCAACCTTCCCTTTTGCACTGGAGCAAATCCACGCAGTGCTTTTGATTTTTTGACAGCAGAATGTCACAGCATGAGCCTTAAATGCATTTTAAAGGGTTTATTTGTGTAAATGTCGTGGAATAACTCATAACTGGAGATTTACAGTGATACCAGAGGGAATTGCAAATAAGTATTACAAGACAATGAGAGTAGCCACCACACAGCACATCTTTTCTAGGAATAACCCCCCCCCCTCACACACACACTCACACACCCTCTTGCTCCATTAGGTAGTCTATCTCAGACTTTTAGATAGTCGACTATAAGAGACCCCTTACACATAATGATCCACACTTTGGTACCTTATTATCTTTTGCTGTGGCTCATTGACCGCAATGATCAGATAATAACAGAATGTGATTGCAAGACTGCAATTAAGGCAAATGCTGCACAGAGAGGAAGGAAAGTCCTTTTGGCCAAGATACTTTATTTTCAAACAGGTGCTTCTCTCTCCGCCACCTCCGGCACCTGTTTCTGAGATTTGTTTTTAGTGTCCACCTTCTTCTTCCTCTCACTTACTCTTTCTCTTGCTCTTTTTTCTCTCTTTCCTTGTCCCAGCAATGGAAGTCTTTGTTTGACAAGGTATGTAGTCTGAGCTATAGTGGGTGGAATCTCTTACCATATGCATGTTTCACTCATTGTGGAGCAGTGTTGTCTTCGAAAGGTGCTCATCTGTGTGTGAACTGTTGGTGACCTCGGACATAAGCTTGTTATCAGCCTAAAGCAACACAGATGTGAGGAACAGATGAAGCACTGCATTGTTCCGCTTAAAGGTCATGAAACATGGGGAAGATTTTGAATGAGCTGAGATGCAATATTGCACCATAAGCATCAGTGGGGACAGGAAAATAGGATAAAGTTACTTTTTAATGTAAAAAATGGCAATATTTTGTGCTTTAGTGTAATGCATATTTATAAATTACTTCTCTTTTTTTTTGTCCATGTATTATGACCTTGACATTGTAATTGTGCTATAACACTGCTTTATCATGGAAGTGACTTAAACCTGCACTAGGAAATGTTGCTTAGCTTCACACAGCTTACTCATGTTTGCCATCTCTGCTGGTCTGTGTCGCTTAAAGCATCTTAAAAGATCTACTAGTTAATAGTAAACTATTTTAATAAACATTTAATTCAATTCTTCAGTTTAATTTGGCTAAATGAGGTAAAAGTACCAGGTCTCAGCTGGTGGAGATGGCAAAGTCTTCTTCATCCCCAGTTTGTGATTTAGGCTGATTAGACAAATGTATTTTTAGATCAAAATCTTGCCTAGTGCAGCTTTAAATCCTTTGCCTGCTGGGTAACAATCACAGCATAACATGCAACCAGGCCGCAGCTTTGTCGAATCCAACTGCTATAGAGGCAAGAGCATCAGAGGAGCGGGAGCACCCTGGAGGCTGTGGGTGTGTCGTCCGCTGACATTGACCCTGATAATGCAATTAGGGTGATACATAATCCTAAATGTATTGATCTATCAGTCAGACCGATCTTGTAAGAAACACATGCAGGCTTGCACACACACACACACATTGATACAACCAAGAAACCCCAGGAGAAGAGAAACACAGACCGGCTGATCATGCAAGCAGCATGTTGGACTGACAGACGGCAAACGGGCCCCCTACTATCACACACAAACACACACACACACACACACACACACACACACACACACACACACATGCACACTTATACACGCACAGCCATCACTCTGTGGGGCTGCGGCAGCACCTGCCCACCCTGGGGCCCCCTACTTTCTCCAAGGGGGTAATTGTATGCGTGTGTGATGTGCAGGGGGTTAGCGGGGATGTTTAGGGCTGAGCCAGAGGCTCGTGTCAGGCTCACTCTTTCAGGGGGAGGCTGAGGTCCCCATGGGATTACGAGAAAGACTAGCTGGGGTGTGGTATGTGTGGGTGTATTAGTGATGGAGCATATTCTATGGACAGGCATTAAGTAGGCCTCTCAATCCGCTGTCTTTATGCATGCGGCACATCTTTGAATTTCCTTTAAGTGGACGTCCATCTAAAAAACGTGGGTTTGTCCAAATGGCGAGGTCACTGCCCGGTCTGGCAGCAACAAATGTCCTTTCACTCTTTTATTTTCCTTCCCTTCTTTCCTCCTCACAATGAGTTGCTCCATTTGTTAAGGGGACGACCTTGGGGAACCCTAGCTTCTGTGAAGCGACTAAGGAAGAGAAATGATGGGCCACTAAAGACAAGGAAAAGAAGGATTTCAAACCAGACTGGCAACCTGTGTCGCTGCATGAGAGACAAAAGTCAAAGTCTGCTTGAAAACAGAGCAAAGTCTGGGCTTTTAGTTGTCTAATGCAAAGATACACACTACGAAGTCCAGTGTTTGTGTTGTTCAGTTTATCTACATTATCAATGACTATTCACACACACTCACACAGCAATGGTTGGCCTAGGTACTGGAGTAACCATCAGTGGCAGTTGACGTTCAGTGTCTTGCTCAAGGACATGTTGACATGTGGACAGGAGGTGGTGATTGAACTGCCAACCCTGCAATTAATGGATGACCTGCTTGTTTCAGACATTCTCACTGTGGCCCTTTATATGAAGGGAGAGTAAAGATGGTATCCAGGTGTCTGGTCAATGTCCCACATCCAGTAAACCACTACAGGCTTGGGCATGCTTCAAATGAAGTTTTTGTCAGAGTTTTGAACATTGAGACCCCTTTCCAATGTCAAAACTGAGGGGAGCAATGTTTGGAACTTTCCAAAAACCAACAACCCGACAAACATGCTCACTCCAAGCAGCAACCATTTGGAACACCTACAGTTTACCTGCAACTTTTAGATGTGGTTGGACAACACTTTGTACAAATTAATTTCTTTCCCTTTACCTTTTAAAATATTCCATAAGCCGCAATTTGACCTAGCCAGTAGTTGTAACTTATTCAATTAGATAAACTGTTCCAGTGAGTGTAATACATTGAGATGATGAGAGATGAAGACAATGATGCATCTCTTGTGTTAATCAATTTTGGCATCCCTGCCTTGTCGGATGCAGAGCACCTGTCTATCCCATTAGGGATGTTTACACAGCAGAATCATCTTCTCTCCTTCATACTTTTTTTGTTTGGACTACAGCTTTCTTCCAGCTTCTTTAAAGTAGTTCTATACAAAACCTTCTCTATCATATCATTTTACCAGCTCCCATGTGTACATGGTTCATACAGCTATCAATTTCTGGGTTTCAGACTATTGGGGGCTAGAATCAAAGTGCTGCGTTGCTCTGTTCGCTTTTCCCTTCACTCCTTCCTCCTGTCCCTGGAGAGGATTTTGTTGCTGTATAAGAGCTTTCCTCCTCTGTGTGCACGAAGTACCTCAGAATGCTTTGACTTGTGTTGCCCATCGCCTGAAACAAACATGAGGACTGAACACAGACAGAGGCGATGTCTAATGAAGCAGAGGAGATGCTGGAGGAGGGCAGCTGCACTGCCTTCTTTCTCCCTCATAATCAAAGGTTCCCAGCCTCTATCTGTCCTCCACACACACACACACACACACACACACACACACACACACACACACACAAATCTGGAAAGACTGCAGTCATGGTAGCCTGTTGCCAGCATTGGAAAGACTGCAGTCATGGTAGCCTGATTGCACAAAATTATGTGCATCATCCAAAAGAAGAAACAAGGTCTGGAGTCTATTCTGTGCTGACTGACACACTCATTAGTTGTTCATGTTGTTGTGTTTTTGAGGATTTCTGCAGATTTAGGGATGGACCATAGTTTATGTCCAGGATTTATCTGGTAAACCGTATTAAGCATGTTTAGGTCAGACCCCGAAATGAACCAAACATATTTCACACTAAGAAATCAATGTACAGGAATGGACCTAAAGGGTACAAATGCTTTGTCGCTCCAGCTGTACCCTAGCAGGATACAAGCACTGTACCTTTGATACATTCTTGTACCTTCTTCTGTACCTCTAAAAGGTACCATCTAAAATGTACCCATTGGGAAGGTATAGACAGGAAAGCCCTGTTGCACATTCATACCCAGAAGCTGCCCAGTACAACCACAGTGGTTGGGGTTATGGGCTCAAGGGCACCTTAGTGGTGGAAATGAAGAAGGGGCGAGTGCTGCTTCTTCACTTTCCCCACCCAGATTTATCCTGCCATGTCCAATTATTCACAAAAATTTGTTTAAAAAAAAATAACAATTAGTTTTTATCTTTTAATGCTTTTCAGTACCTTTTTCATTGCATTGTTCAGCTAGAACAGATTTTTTCCATAACAAGTGAATGTTGTCACAGCCTAAATCAAGTTTTTAACTCTGGAAGCTTCAGCAGTGCCGAGTGCACTTGCCACGGGCACATGCCACAGCAGACTGCAGGGGGAAAACTGGTTGCACTACCCAGCTCCACATAGGCTCCATAAGGGAGGGCCACGGCATAAAAACAAGTTAAACTAATACAGAAAAAAGTCGCCATGAAGTAAAGAATGATAAAATAGATTGACAATAAAACACTGTTAATACTAAAATAAAACTGGGAGTCATGGTAATGGCTATGGAAGCATTTCACTCTGCTACACTGATAATTAGCTACTTGATTAAATTGACAAAATCACTCAAATAGGTCTATTGTGAACTTGCCAATACAATCTGAAAACTTGTCTGTCTTGCCACACAGACCAAGAATTGAATGGAAATTTACTAGTAGACTATTGTATTTCAATAAACCCAACTCTCTATTTAAAACAAGATTTTGCGATCACTGATTTGGTATAACATTTCCTGTGCCTTAAGATTGTTAAAAGTACAAGTATGTACCCCTTTCTGTCAGTTATGATCCACATTTAACACCTTAAGGACCTTTTTCGTACATTACAGGTTACTTTTCTGACAAATGTACCTTTGGGTACAGAAATGACACCCCCCATTTCTCTGTGTGTTGTTTTGTACTCTCTGAAAAGGCACTTCAGATGGATTTCCTTGTACAACTGTGGCAGGAGGAGCTAAATTAGAAATCTTTAACAAGAATTCTTTGTGTTTTACCTGATTATTTTGCATAATTTTCTCATTTTCTTCTGTAAAAAGTGGATCTAAGTGATCTATAGCGCTTCTCTTTCTTTAAATTGCCTTAGCACAGTGAGTGCTTTTGTACATCGTGAATTATGAAGGGCTACACCAACAGCACAGACACACAAATTGTTATCTGAGGGAACTGGGAATGCCCCAATGCTTGTAAAGCCTGGGATTGGAAGTCCCCAGGTGTGGCGACTGGAAACCTGGCTCAACTCGAAGTAGATGGACAGATAGACACTTGTAGAGAGGATGTATACAAACCATTGACTGTATATCTGTGGTTTTCCTGTCCAATAGAAACTCAAATGGCCCCTCAATGCAGCCTTGCAACAGGAAAGGATAGAAGACTAAAAGCACTACAACTATCAGTGAACCCTATATTCTGGGCTTTGTGTCCGTGTGTGAGAGAAATCCTTATATGTGTGTCCAGCGTTGCCTTTGTGTTGACAGCCTGCGCCCAACGGCATGTTTAAATGCCCCAGGCACACGCCTGCAGGAGCTTAGTGATTAAACACTTTCACATG